TACACTTCAAGCAACATTCAAAGAAGTGGGAGGGGAAGCAGCCAATTCCAAGGCAGGATTTATGAATAAGTGGGGTGCGAGTGGGAGGGAGGTTGGCTAGAATTTTGAAATAATGAGACACTGGAAAATTAAAGCAAGCAATGTGGGGCAGGGGGAAGGAAAACTAGGGGGAGAGGTGTATTTATGTTGTATGGCCATAAGGAGCCAAAAACAAGAACAACATTTTTAGTACATCTGTGTTTTCTCTGGTACTTTGTAAACACCTTGGGAAAAGAGAAAATGTAATTTTCAGGAAGGGTTTGACACCTATCCCTAACTGACAGGAAAAGTATGCAGCCTATTCTAAGATGTGCCTCCTCCATCCCTTCTTACAGGACTTATTGTTAGAACACAGTCCTTGATTCAGGGTAAGGAAACCCCACTTTCCTTTTTCATGGACTGACACTGAAGGGAATTACTCATTCACTCTTCAACAAAGATTTAGCCCACCTTAGGAATGTTTCCAGGCTAGCATGGTTCCCATAAATGCTATTTCTAAGTCAGGAAAACTATTATAAAACCAAGCTTGCCCCAGTGATCAGACAAGTGTAACTGTAGTCTGAATAGGAACATCACTGAGAATTACATTTTTCAAACTGGGAAATTGAAAGGGTTAAGATTTATTTTGCTGCCCTTCAGCAATTTAGGAAAACCATCGCTCAAGACACAAAGGCTTAAAATAAAGTCTGCACAGGTCAGGGATGGGCAGCATGTGTGCTTTTGGAAGTTATGGGGAGGTAGGGCAGGATGCTCTAAATGGAAATCATGAGAAATGACAGCTAAAAATATTTAATGTTCCAACTTCTCAGTAGCTACCCATGGTTGTTGCCAAATGACTGCAGCAAAGGCTTTGGGTTATTTTTCACTAAGTTCTATTCCTCCCTGTTCTCAGGACACTGCCAACTGATAAAGCAGAGCCTCTGGCAAATACCTTTTCCTTAGGAAGGGAAGGAATCCTAAACCCCCCAAAAACAAAAGAACCCTTTTACTGGCACATTACACCAAAATGTCACAAATTAGTCGGTGTACCATTATCATACTTGTGTAAGCACACTTACAGAAAGAATGCAACACACAAGTTTTGGGCAGCTGATGTGACAGGACAGGAACTTGGCATCTGATTTTTCAAATCATAAAAAGCATACTGAACTGTTTAATAACTCATTGTAGGACATGCCTTTGCAGCACGCTCTTTTTAATCTTAAAAGCGGGTAAAGTAATCTCCCTGGGGCTACACATGCCCCTATTTTGCAGGACATGTGCATGTAGGTAAAAAAGGCACTAAAGCGGTTTGTGGTTTCAGCCTAACACAACTGCAGGCAGATTAAGCCCGTCTCCCTTAGTGCTGGGAGGTTGGAGTTTCCCCATCGGAGTGCTGAGAGTTCAGTGAAGTTATTCTCAGGGCTGGGAGTCCCGACAGCCAACACCAACGAGGTGAGCAGGAGAGCTTAACAAACAATCCCCTCAAGGAAGAAAGAAAATAGAAACAGAAATACACTTCTGGGTGAGAGATGAAGAAAAGCAAGCAGCAGATCTTCAGAATAGGAAATTAAAATTGGCTAGGGCGTAATTAGAAATTTAAATGAAATCCCTTTTGTCATCTAATGCACATTTCACTGGAGCCTGCATATCCTCTCTCCTCTCCCCCATTCTCTATATTAAACAAGGAGAGACGTTACAACTGCTCCATTACTGAGATACTCCATAGGTTTCCTTCAGTACTACTTGAATTTAAGAGTGGTTTAAAAAAGCATTATCCTGTATTTCCTGCTCCTCTCCTTAAATTCAGGTCATCTCATTTGGCCAAACCATACTGCATTTATAGTAAGGTTTACAGCTTTATTTTGTTTTGTTTATCAAAAGGTGCTTGGAGGGAGATTGAATTTTAGTTTCAATGCCAAAAGAACTAAATGATTATATCTCTCCATTCACACACACCTCTCTTCCCCATGCAACTGCACACACACTCACATGAGACTAACAAAACTCTGTAAAGAGTAACCCTTCTTTTCCTACAACTTGGTTTTTAGGATAAAGAAAGAATTTTTGTTGCTGCTATTGAGAAATTTTCTTGTATTTCAATTATTTTTTAGTCTTTAAAACTCTTGATCCCCCATTTGACAGTAACGTTTGGAGATTATTTTTTAAATTTTTTTCCTTTTTATTAATTTTTTTAGCTTTTTCTTCTTTTTTTTAAAGTAAAAAATTTCAAACTTTTTGAAGATTCAGGAACTTGTAAAAGTTTATCAACAGGAAAGAAACAGCCATCTATCTAGGATAAGATAAGGTTAAATAAACCATCTTCAAAAACTGGCTTCCTACCCTAGAATTCCTGAGAACGCTTGCAAATTTAAAGCAGGAAAATAAATGTTAAAACAAAAACAAAAAAACACTGTTAAATGCTCCCAGAGTTAGTCTTCATCTAAAATATATATATGCACTTTTTGGTCTTTTTTTTTTTTTTTTTTTTTTTTTAAAGTTTTAACTTTTTTCCCTTTGAGCTTACGATGGAAGAACATTGTAGCTTTTCATTTTTAAATATTTCAAATCCCTCATTACGTCTTGTAAACAAGAGGGGCTCTAGCACCCGGCTTTCACCGCAGCATTGCAATGAACTCAACTACCCAAAGTGCAGGAAAAGGGACCGTCGGGCAGGTTGGGAGAGAGAAGCGGGGGTGGAAATGTAGCAATGAACCAGCAAATGTGGCAAGTCATATGACAGAATGGATACTGGCTTATTTAGGCCACTATAGGTGCTTCATTGGGAAGTTCTGCTGGCACAGGGCTCTTGATCTGTACTGCATGTTAGAGCATGGCTGGTCTTTAAGTTGAGACCACCAGAGACAAAGATTTGTTTCTGGTGTGCATGTTGAGGGGACTTAACTAGTAGGAGTTGGAAGAAAAATATTTTGTTTCAATGTGTACGGTGAAGTGGAAAAGGGGATACCGTTAAAAAAGCATATCTAAAAGGGCCAGAAAGTATGCTGCAGACTCCAGTTTACTACACACACTCACGCAGCCACACACACTTGCACATAACACTGTATACAAATCTACAGGCATATGTAAATGCAGCATTCCCCTCAGTCAGCTTTCTTTGTGACATGGGGTTTACATGGATAGGGCAATAAAAATAAACCAAATAAAATGAAACAACCCCCACCCCCAAAAAATCCCCACTCAATTCTCCCATGCCTTTCCCCCGTTTTGACACACACGTGCACAAATGACCCTAAATGATGAGTTTGTCTTTGCTTCTCTCCCTCCAACCCACACTTAAAGTGTTCAATACATTAGATATTATTATATCCTTCAATGAAGATGCTAAAGAAAAGAGATTCCCCTATCCTCCCTCCCCTACAGTTAATAAGGACAGCAGAGTCCTGCTCCCACCGAGGGTTGGAGTGACTAGGGGTTTGCTGGTACAGAATGTCGGCACTTTATGTTAGACAATATAACAGAGCTAGACAATGCCACATGTAAGTGCTAGCACTTCTAAGGAGAGTACCGGCATCTCTCTTCCCTCTGCCCCCTTCTCCCCACAAATATTTCCTGCTTTGTGTAAAGGGATGTCCCTTCAGATCTGCTACAACTCTTTTTCACAACAAGCATCATTGTAAGTTTTGTTCCCAGCGCACACATGCACGCGCACACACACACTGGCTATCACTGTGGATTATAGGTCACCCCTATCTTGCCCAGAGTACTACTATACTGATGCTCAACCCCCTCCCCCAAAACCTTTCTTTAAATACAGAAATTAAAAAAGCAACGGTACAGAAAAAAGTCAAAACAAAAACAAAAAAGGTGCAATACTTCAAAGGAAAAAAAAAATCTTTTCTAGTTATACACCTGCCTAAGCAAAACCACGTACACAGGAAAAAACACAACATGGAGAAACAAAGGAAACGTTTGAAGTACACACTGGTTTAAGAACATTCGTAAGTAAACGTTTCTGTCAGTGATGGTCTGGTGCTGTAATACACCGAGGCCTGGCACAGGTAACGCTCACTGTGAAGGACGCAGAAAGGAGTTAGCTGCATGTGCTTTCAGGAGATGAGGCAGGCAGGCAGGCCAGCCGGCAAACTGTTGACATAATTGAGTTTTGTCAGTTTTAATATACGCAGTAATTAAATTAAAATGCTAATTTGGTTGGGCTGGAGTTTCAGGCTTTTGATGGATTCTTTGTGAACAAACAGGGGTGCATATATAGAAAGGACTAGGGAAGGGACGAGAGGCTCGTTTTCTAAAGACACTGAACCTTGTAAAGGGATTGAAGAACATTCATCTTGGCCACAAAGAAACATGATGTCTTCTATCCTTGTTTCCCCTCCTCAGACGAAAGAAAATGGCTTGCATTATAAAACAAACATTCTAGGGTTCACTCACAAATAACCCCAACATGCAGACATAAATAAATAAATACACTGCTACTTGAAAGACAACGTTGGCTCCCCCTCACCAAATCCTTTGGATATGGCAGTGTTCTGCTCCCCCACAGGGTTAGAAACAAGGGCTAGGAAGCAACTACCCATTCAGAATGATCTGCAAACTTGAAATAGCACCCTGCTAAAATGAATTTTTAAAAAAATCTATTGACAAATTTTAATCCAGCCCAACTGGATTTTGCTATAGCCACAGGGACTCCATCACACTTGTCTTGTTTTCACAGTCAAGACATAAAGATGGCCAGCCAGCCTGTAGACCATCAGCAATGCAGCGTTCCAAGATTATATATAGAGGGGAAAAAATGCATACACACGCGCACAAACATGTGCACACACTCACTCGCACAGAAAACAAGCACACATGGGCAGTTACATGTGCCAGAACACACTGGTACTTATCAACCAGCCAATCACAAAGTGTTGGTGTTTTTTTGTTTGTTTTTTGTTTTTTTTTGTTTTTTTCCATTTTTTTGTTTTTAAAGTGAGGCTCCGTCAAGTCTTCCCCTCCCCCCACCCCTTTAATTCTTTTGAACCCCACCCCCCAACCCCACCCCAACATGGTAGACCTAAGGACGGAAACACACCCAGTGCAAACAAAGTTAAAAAGCTATTTTTTTTCAGTATATATGTTTCTTAGCAACAACTTCCGTATAACATGAAAAAGTGAAAAACTAGAAACTAATTTTTTTAATTTTTTGTGTTTAAATTTAAATGGTATGTGTACTTGCTTCACATTGTCTTTCTAAGTTGGCGTTCATGATTCAAGTATTTCAAGAGTGATATGTTCTCTTTTTGGATTCATATTCCAAACGAAAAAACTGAAGTTATATAAGGGAGGCAACTATGTGCTCAGACAGTCTGTCAATGACCCACCTTTTTTTCTCTCTCCGTTTTCTTTTTTCCTTTTATAAATGTATTTATTGCAAGTTGAAAAAAAACGAAAAGGTCAAGTTAGTGCTGCTGCTGTTCCAAAAAAGGTCACGAGGTCAGAGTTGAAAGTTCTAAGTTCAGATTGAATCCGACCCTCCTCCCAGAAGGTCTCCAGGTAGTAAGGGAGCAGGACTGCCCATCCTGTGTGGATCCTCTACGTTTGGGACCCCCCACAAGCTTGAAGAATAGCTTGGAGGCCCCCATAATGAAGCACCAGCGAGATCGCCCCCACTGCTGCCGCCACCACCACCGCTGCTCCACTGCCCAAGCCCTGTTGTCCCACCAAAAAGATTCAAAGCAGGTCCAACTGGATCTGTCTGGTTCTGTCCTGTCTCCAGGGATTGCCAGCCTGCCGTGGGTGCACTTGGGGCTGCTGCAGGTGTAGGGGGCTGAGCTTGTGCCAAAAAGCGGCTAACCTCCTCGTCTGTGGCAAACTCAGCCAGGATGGTAGTGTTTCCCAATACACACCTAAGAAAAAAATGGGTAGAGGGAAAAAAAAAAGATCTAAAATCCAAAGTGAATACACAGGGTCCAAAGGCTTGAACATGAAATAATAAGTACTCGGAACAATTACGAAAATCATCATACAGTGACAGAAGTAAGAGGTATGGGGGCAGCCATCAGCTTCTGACCATTTTCATTAGACTCTGTAGAACTCAAAGCTTGATTTTTTTTTTTTTGGAAGGGAAATTCAAGGTTTTAGTTCTTATGGCTGTGAACAAAGCTTTCCAAACCCAAACCAACCAGACAAAAATGAAATATTAAAAAGGGCTGTATACGAGTGTATGCAAGATAAATAATCCCACCAAACCTCAGATATATTTAAGAGGGAGGAGGTAAGGTTGGATACACATCGTCAGGTTTTATACGCATTTACCATTCAAAAGCATCACACCTTAAAAGGTTAGAAACCCAGGAAATACTGAATGAAAGGAATTTTTTGGGCTTCTTATATTTTTAGGCTTTAACATTTTGAAAGGAATAGGGAGCAAGGGAGTCAGCACCCAGGCTGCCTTGCATTTCCAAAATAACTAGGGATCATTTAGTTCCCACCCCCCGCTGAAAAAAACAACCCAACAAAAACAACCAAACAAAAAGCCGCAAACTCCCAAATGTGAGCCCTTTTATGCAAATTCCAAGAGGCCCAAGTACAGGAAACCATCACTAGAGTTTGCAGTTTTTGAGAAAACTTATTTTAAATGTCTCTCAATTAATGAGACTGACGCCAATACACAAGACATGAAGGCTGGTTGGAGCAATTAATCGGAGTCTGCTCTGACACGCTGTAATTACAGAATGTTGGAGCAGCCTCCCAGCTTGTGTACAGGCACCCATTAAGTGCTTTCCTATGGTAAACAACTACTATCACTGCCACAAAGTTACTATGCTGTCACACACAGGAGGTGGTGATGGTCTAACACAGTGGTTTTCAACCCATATGCCAGAGTGGGCCACGCTTGCAGCTCTCAATGCGTTAGGTGGGCTGCACTCCACAACTTCCTGTGTATCCATTTAAAAAAAGTGTTTTAACAGGATGTCTAATAGGCTGTAGCAGCGTGCTGACCGGGCTGTATGCAGCCCGCAGGTTGCGGGTTGAGAACCACAGGTCTAACATAACCAAGAACTGGAGGGACCAGCCTCTCGGAATCTCTGTGCAAATATGGATCACACTATGGTACACCTGAGAATTCCTACTCTGTGGAGCAGGTTTGTTTCCTAAAGTGTTTTACCTATTCTTTAAGCAAAACTAGATTTAGCATTCAGACTGTCTGAAGCTGAAAACACAGTTAACTTTGTTTTCAGGGTTTAAGATTAATGCCCATTGGAAACAAGTCACACATTTTCATAAATGCAGACACATTTGTATATTTGCATGCTGGTCACAACAGCTCTTGCAGCCAGTTGCAAAAAGCCTTGTTCAAATAATTTCTGAGACATGGCACACTGTTTCCCTTTTAGTGCTAAATGAAGTATTTCTGAGGACCCCTGATGCGAGTTTCTAAAACATGGAACTGAGCAGAAATGAATCTTAATCACCTCTTTATACACAGGACTACTATCTAGTGACAAGGTGAGCTCTGAAAGACAAAGGAAACAGGGTAGATTCATGCAGCTGGGGCAACTCACATGTGCAGTGCAGTCTGGGCCTTGGCCGCCTCTTGTTTGGTGCTGTATCTGATAAGGGCGGTGCCCTGGGTCAGGTTCAGATGGAATGTCAGCAGTGGGCCATGCTGCATGCAGATCGTCCTCAAGGTTGACCCATCAATCTGAGGAAGAAAAGCAACAGATTTACTGAAAGAAAGGACTACTGAATCTTTTTATGATACATCTGAAGAACTGGAGATATTTAGCATAAATTAAGTACTTAAAAGAAAATATAATATTTTACTTCATGTCACAGAAAAAGTATGTAAAGACAGGTGAGAGGGATAGGACTGTCCTTTCAAGCAGAACCTTTTCTCAAGTGCTTTCTACATCTTACAGATCCAGCAGGCATCAGTAACTCTCCTTTGTTAAACAGCTTATTTTAATTTAGCTCAATTTAAGCCTATCTTCCTCCTGGTTGAGATTACCCAGGTGTGAGCATCTCTGTATTTTCCAGTAGTGTATAAATTGTATTTCAAGCCCTTTTAGGGGTGTCAAAGATGACAACAGAAGAATCATGTCATTTTGATTACCAGATTTGTTCCTTTCCATCCTTGACATTTCAACAAGATTTTAAGATCAACTAGCAATTTGAGACTATTTATCTGAAAAACTGGGAACTGATTTGCTGAATGTTGTAAAAGATTAGGGTCCTTTAATCTCACTCCCCAGTTGGAGATCTGAGAAATCAACAGTTAAATCACTGGACTGCCAGACTAACAGTACCCAAATGACTGATGTTTCTACAGCAGTAGCAGCCTTTAGTTTTTTCTATAGCAAAGAAGATAAGTTACTTATGTTATAGTAACTATGATTCTTTGAAATGTGCTTTAAAAGCAAACTCCACTTTTGGTGTGCATGGGACACATGCACATCAAGAGAGGATTCTACGTACGCAGACACTCAAAGTACTATTACCCTGTTTCCCCCGTTCTGCTTACATGACATCTTAAACAAGAAAATTATGTACAAGTTAATGTGGTAAAGTAAAATGGGTGTGCTTTAATCAGAGAGAGACTGGTTCCAACTGTATCTTGGGCCCACCTATAAAAATTATATACAAACCCAAAACAAAGAGGACTGCATGTTAAGTCTGTTCCTTTAACCAATCTGTTTTATTTCTCTTTTCAAGTCATCTCAACATCTCCAGAATACATTTCCTGCAGTTTTAACAATTGCAAAATGTTAGAGAAACATTCCTTGTATAGAAGAAACTTGCCTCATCACAATAAGGCAAATTTCTTTCCCACTACTTCTCCTGCCCTGCATGTCAAAGGGAGCACAGTAAGCTATTTTGGGGGATCTGAAGAAGATCCAAGCCCTCTTCCCCAGTGATGTTATTTTTCAAAGCTGCACTACAAGTGTGATAAATTATCCTACTGAACAGTGGACTAGTTGTCTTCGATCCCCAGGGATACTGTTGATAATCCTATAGACTTTCCTTGAGCCCTGGATACAGGCTAATTGGGATTGCTGAAACCAGGATCTCCATAGAATTTACTGTGAATGGAAACAAGCTCTAAGAATGGAATAGCTTAACAAGACTGTGCTTTTGGCAGCAGTATTGGAAACATTCTGTGGTTTCACTATGGAAACATTAGAGTGAACACTGGCAGTTCTGCCTAGCTCTGTTACTGACAATGTCCAAAAGAAACCAGAGACTTGAGCTATTACAAACAATGCTGCAGAGCGTACATTTTATCCACGTTCCTACGTGAAAAAAAACTTGAGATAAATTCATTCATGAAAAACTGTAAGTAATGATGGGACAGTTCAGATGGTCTAATGATAAATACTGAACACACTAGCTACCAAGAAGATCAGATGTGTCACACCAGTTAAGCAATGTGACTACTGTAGTAAAAGCAGACTACTCTAGTATTTAGTTAGGCTGAATCTCCAGGTCAATTCAGCCTTGTTAAACTTCATTAAAAAGGGAACAGGAAACCAGCCGACAAACTTTGCTTTCTGCAGTTTAGTACTACTCCCTTTCAAGAGAACAGAAGAAAGAAGGAAATACCTGAGGAGTGAGATTGTGAAGAACCAGCCAGTAGCTTGGACGAACTGAGCCACCATCACTCCAGGTGGAGGCTGCAAATATTTAAACAACCAAAGAGATACAACAGTCAGAAGAAATTAAGTGAACAAAGTAAATGCTTTGACAAATAATTACTCATCTATACTCTATACTTCTTAGTCTCAGACAGACTTACCCACATGAAATGTATTAGCAGAACAGATTCCAAGAACAGAAATCTAAGAGAACACTTCTCTTACATTTAATGTCAGGATTCATTTTTGCCAGAGTTTGTCTGCTAGGGACCTTTCCCACCCATACAGCTTGTTTTTCTACTACCCACTACTCTACAACATTGGACCTTTGTATAAATCTTCTTCCGGCAGTAAACAACCCTGTCCTTACTGCTCGCTGAAGCAGCTCCTGGGTCTTTTCCTTCACATTTTGCCATGCCACCACAACTTCCTGTCTTCTGAAGGCTGCATTATATCCACACTGTTAGCACTGTATAACATACCCCCTTCACAACTGAGCATTAATGCCATCAGGAGATCCTTCTCACCAGAAGCAAGCCTTGAGTCCTGTGGCCCCCACCCCCTGCCCGAGCGGGGTGCTGCACTGCTCCATGGAGATGATGGTTTTGGATTGGTCAGGCCAGGAGGTGGGCGGGGCAGCCCTGTAGTGTTCCTTGAGGAAATATGGGTTTTCCACATCTTGTTGGAGAGATGAGTGGGATTGTGTCCTATGGGGTCAGGGGACCATGCTGATTTGTAATCATTGAATTTTGCTATAGTAAAGATAGATTAAAAAAAAAAAAAAAGTGATGAATTAGTGGACCTTAAACCCCACAAAACATTTATGTAATTATCCAGCTACTGTTGCCAGTTAAGCCCACTTATACCAGATGCAAGCACAGTCCAGATCCATGCAACTGTTAATATGCACTATACCAATAAAACAAAAAAAAGTCAGATTTGGTAAATACATGTTGTATATGTTCTGACAGAGAAACTAGATCCTTTACACGCTAATTTATAATACATGTTAATATAAACCAGAGAGTTCATAATAACACCATGAATTTCTGCACCATCTTTATCAGAGGAGTTCAAAGCTCTTTACAAGGATGGACAAATGTTATCCTCATTTAAAAAACTAAAAACTAAGGCAGAGGGAGGTTGAATGACTTGTCTTAGTCACAAAATAAGACAGCTAAAGCTGATAACAAATGCAAGTGGGCATGAAGGTTAAGGACCTCCTTCCTGCACCCAGCTGAAAGCCCAGTATTCTAAGAGAATAGGAGAACTTCACATCCCCAATTCCAGATATTTGGGAGGTCTCCTAGTTTTCCTTTCCTTACAGGAGAGGAGACTATGCAATCTTCAGTACCTCTTGATGTTACCAGATACTCCCAGTTATTAATATAACTATAACAGGAAGGGTAGGGATTATTCCAGTGATTATGCAGTCAAAGATGTAGGAAAAAAAGACATGGTGCATGAAGTCTAGCAGTTAAAGCCAAAGTTACTTAAGCAGAATTTGTACTTCCCAGCAAAGTTGTCTAGCAAAAATGTGCTTATCCAGGGAATAATCTGACTCACAATGGGTCAGTGTCTTTTTTAAATTCTAGTTGCTGTCAACAGGTGGTGCTGATTTATTTTGAGAAAAACAGCTAGGGATCCCCACTTCCCAGGGTAGCAAAACAAGAACAAAATTTGGAATTAAAAATGCAGATTTGCTAGTAAGATTTATTATGCAGCACGTTTTGATCACTACCACCTATAGTGCTCGAAGTCTGAGTGCTTGAGAGAAAGTGCAAACGACTCGCACCATATATACTTAGCTCTAAACTGCCTGAAAAGTTGTATCAATGGAGTTGGACATCTTATGCTGGGGATGAGTGAATTCTAACATCCAACTCAGATGACCCATTTTCCCTGTACCAGAGCAATACTTGGTAGCTGAAGAACATGGGAGTAAAAATCATGCTTAGATCGGGTAGTAGTGCAGCCTCTTAACCTTACTAATTTTTTACTTTAAGTCTTTCCTTTCTTTCCTACATGCTAAAAAAAAGTCAAATGGAGGCAAAGCAGAGTTTGGTGACGTTCCTCAAACACAGACTTATGAGTATTAGTTTTGACTTAGAAAAATAAACTGTACATGTCATTGTGGAACAAAGCTACATATTCAGACTGCTTCTAATCAAAGCCATCCATCAACACACAATGCTGGCTTGAGTGAAAACCCTGCAATTCACAAAACGTTTCAAATCTCATTGGATTCCCTGGGTTGGATTTTTCCAACAGTTACTCAATAGTGAATGCAGTGCCTGTTATTAACAGGAATACTTTGGTGTCCTCAACACCTACACAAGATGTGGGATAACAGGGAGAAAACACAGACCTTTAATGGCCAGAAACCCTGGAGCTAAAAATCTTCTTCTTCATACTCCTTCAGAATGTGAGAAGACAACAGCAGATGTTAAGAAGAAACATTTCCCAAATACTTCTCTCAGTTTACAAGGTTTCTAGAAGACTGCACAAGATCTTCCCTTCCCTAACAAATCATTCAAATTCCTTGGCAAGTAGTTAAGACAGGAGGCAAACAAAAAACAAACAAAACAAAAAGAAAAAGAAAAGGAACCATCACTTCCTTCCACTAGATAGCCTAATGGATTCTGGATGAGAAATGCTTGCCTGTTTTCTACTCCCCACTTCCTGATCCATGTTATTGAGACCTTTTTCTTTTGGAAGAAAACTTCAATGAATGTAAGGTGATTTCTTTCCTGTTGAATGCAACTATAATGAAACAACTTATCAGACAGAAAAGCCTACCAGCTGATCAAATCTCTCAATTTCTTGGTTTTTGCAGTAAGCACTAAAAATCATATTCAAAATGGCTTAATGCTGAAGAACTACTACACTGACTAGGCAGTGACCCTTTTTCAAAGGCCTCCATACCTGAAGTGCTATGAACGTTGGTGAAGGAATTGTCAGAGGCACTGTAGGGCCAGGCACCAGGTGAAGGCAGCGAGGTGTTGAGGGAAGAATTAGACCCTACAAAAAGGGAAGGGAAAGAAAAAAAAGATTGCAGGCAAATATTACAGAACTTCCACAGTATAAGTCAAGTCTCAAGACAAATCCATTTTGTACTAACACAACTAACTGTGACATACAACAGATGTGTAATTACAGACAAGACTTGTTTGGCAGTTAACACTGGAGATGTCATTCTCACCCTCTGTGGTGATGGTTGAGTACTGCTTCCTTCCCCCACCCCGCCTTAAATTAACTATGTATAAGCTCAACACAAGTGAGTAATCACTATTCACTGCATGTCTGCATATTTACCTGTGGTGTTGTCCCGCAGAAGTTGGTGGTCAGTATCTACAATGGGAGATGCGGCTGTACCCCCCAGCACACTTCCAGGGGTCACATAGGGATCAGATTCAGGGTCAATGTTTTGTATACCTTTCCATGGCACTCCCGGTTGGAACTCTGGCACAGGAAGTAACAAAAGGTTGATGCAGAGAGAAATGCCATTTAGAAAAAAAATTAAAATTTGAGGATGTTTCGAAAGGACTAAAAAATTGGTATCTCTTCTATAGTTCCCTAGTGGGTCGTCAGGAGAAGATTTTCTAGTCAGAATGTGGCTTGTTTTACTCTCCCACTATACTGTTTTCCATAGTTCATACATATGAAAGTCTACCCTGGCTCAAATTCATGGGACTCTTGTCCTTCTTTTACTGTTCTCAGTTCCAAGTGAGGCTTCAGTGACCTTGGCCTTGATGACTATACTACATCATTTCTACGATTTTTATTTTTATTCTACAAAGTATATTTTTCACATGTACACTGTACTGTTGGTGCACCTGGGCTTCTGTGTGTTTGAGCTTAAGAGACTTTTTCATCAGTAGTATCCATGTTGTGCATTCATGTAACCTGCCACTTCATGCATTGCACCAAGAACATAAAGGATAGCGCGTGGCTGACATGTCTCAGATTCCTCTCACCGTGCTACTTCATATGTGGAGATGTCAAAGAGGAGGCAATGAAAGGTGAGCTGCAGAACGTACACATGGACAATATCTAAAAAGATTTCAGTTACTACAGGATAAGTAACTTGTTTCTCTTTCAAGTGACTGTCATACATATTTTCCACTAGAGCGGACTTCAAAAAAATATGATCAGTCCATTCAAGGTGGGCTCTTGGAGTCTCAGAAGAACAGCATCTTTGCCAAATACAACAATCAATCAACAATTTCAGAGACTGACACTGAACAGAATTCCTGGTCGTCTGTTATTCAATGGGTGTGTTTCACTAATGCAATAGAAGCTGCTTGACTTATGGTAGAATGTGCTTTAATAGATATAGCAAGATCCACCTTAGCTATTTCATAGCCTGCCCTTTTAGAACCAGAAAAAGCCTTGTGGTAGAGATCACCATGTGCTTCAACCTCTCTGCCAGAAAAAAAACAACTCGAGAAGAATAATTGAATGGTTTGATTCTTTGGAAGAAGCCAAAGGTACACCTCATATCCAAGGTATAAAGTGATGCCCTCATTCTGTCAGCATGAAGTGGGGGGGGGGGGGGAAAAAAAAAAAAAAGAAAAAAACCCAAAGGGGGATCCCATCACCAGACCTTAGTTCTCTCCCACAAATAACAGTTATGCAAGACAGCAATCAGTAAATCCATCTTTTCCTTATAATAGCACTGACTTGCTAGTAGATCCATGAGAGCCACAAAGGTTAAAGAGTGAGATCTCACAGAGGGATCAATTCTGTATTGGTGGGAATGCATTGGTCAGATCTGGTTGACAGTGTACCTCCACTATGCTTAGGGACAGGGTGTTCCATTTCAAAAGCTGAAAGAAGGTACCCTATAGAAAGACAAGCATTGGCATAACTTATATGGTATTGGTGAATCATCTTGCATCAAGAAGAGAGAAGCAACACTACTCAGAAGTTGTGTGCCCAGCTGTTCTAAAGATCTAGAAAATACACCAGAGAAAGTGAAAACAGGTGTCTACTACAGCAGTTCAAAAAGTTGATTGCTTGCTGGCATGGAGCAGACAGCCCTCATCCAGCCCTGTTTGTTGATGCAAAGGCAAATATGGTGTTATACCAAAAGCCTGAGATATGTTGCAGGATCCATAGGTATAGCATACATATGCACTGATACCATGTTATTAGACATCTCTGCTTCCCCTTGAGACCAACAGGGACAAAACTGTATTAATGGGAGGCTTGATTTTGGGTGTTTTCTTGGACAAGGTGGGACTCCCACGGCCAAAGCTACTTTTTCCACTGAGGCCTAGTGGAGAACATCCACCAGTTTATGTTAGTTGTCCAATATTTCCATGGGAATTTGAAAGAAGTGATCGTCTCTTGCTTACAATCCCCTGAAACTGTCTAGCTGTGGCATGCTTGAGGGCATCACTTCTTCTGGGTTAGAGGAGGATGTAGAGTAAGACCTTCCACTTCTGTAAACTGGATTATTTTGACATGTCCTCTGGTTTGGGCACAGATGAACTGGTGCCTGAAGGAACAGGACTTGTCCAACAGTCAAATTTCTCTTTTCAAGTTCATGGCCAATATAACCATAAAGACAAGGTGTCAAAAATAATGGCCCATGGGATGGTGCTTGATATTTTATTATGTAGAGGTTCATCCTGGAACAAACTCCTTTGAGGGAGCTGGATCATCAAGGAGGTAGGGGACGCTCTAGGGCACCTATGCATGTGCTTGATGCCTGCTCCAACACGTTCTAATCAGAACATCAGAGAAGATTAATTGAGTATGCTGGAGCGTGCTAGTTAGCATGCTCCAGTCACCTCAATGTCACATGTATTCAGGGTCCCTGCACTTCAAAATGGTGGTGGGGTGCTATAACTAAAGATCATTGAACAATCTTTAGTTAAAGTGCCCCTGCCACCATTTTGAAGCATGGAACATTGAATACACAAGATGCTCTGGGCGCTTTAATCAGAGTGGCTCCTGAGAGCTGCTCTAATTAAAGCATATCCCCCCCCCGAGCATGTGTAAAGATGCCCTAGGAGAGTACCTTTGCAACTACTCACGAGGCCTGGCTATCCCAATACTAATTAAGTGGTTGACAAAAGCAAAAAACCCTGTATCCACTGGTGATGCCAATGGCTTTGATGGTGAGGGGAGATCTTCTTGTGAGCTCAGTGACAGTGAGATAGGTAGACAACAGTACTAATTCAGTCTCTTACAGTATAATTAAGTGCTGGCACCACAAACCTGGGTAATACCACTGGTTGTTCTGAAGCCTGAGAATATGGCAGGCTTCAGAGCAACCAGTGGTGACAATGTTGACAATGAATGCCTTGGGTCCCAATAGGAACACAACTGAGGTTGTTTCTTCAGTCATTGCTGATGTAAAGAGAGACTGAACAGAGCAAGTCCACAGTAGAAACAAAAATGTCTGCAGTGCTGTAAATATTAGTTCCTTATGCTTCAGAACATGTCACTGGCAGTGTGACACATGCATAACCACACATCTCAGGCATTAGCCAATGCCATAAAGTTTTGGTTGGCAGCTGAATGAAACTGCAAAAAGCTCCATCTTGTGGCAAGAAACAGCCGAAAGGAACTGAGGTGCAGAAGGCAGACTGCTTTTAATGCTCTCAGGGCAAAGCATAATAAGTGGCAAGGTACACGTATACCATGCAGTTACTGTTGGCTACACAATACTTCCGAGAGAGTTTGAGCATATGAAGTGCATGTGCATCTGCACTGGAAGGTGCGCATCATTACAGCCACTCAAAGAAGTTCATACTGGATTAATGCAATGAGCTCAAGACAGAAAAGTCCAGCTCCTCAACCATAAAGCCAAAAATGTATGTCCTTACAGTCAGCAAAACTTCAGACAAAATTGTTTAGCCTTCATGCACACGTAACATTATGAAGCTGTAAACAGTACAAAAGGATATTTCAGGTTCTCTAAGGCAGATTAAAAAGAATTTTAGTCACAGCCCCATGCCCAAACCCAGTAGTCACAGGTCACTTGAGACTAACAAATGTGAAGTAGGTACTTTGCAGTTTAAGCTTTTCTTCTCTCAGCTCAACTTAAGTTTATGCTGTGAACCTAGGCCTTGATTATATTTCTTTGCACATTAAATGTGTCTTGAACTGGATACAAAAGCCCAAGAAATATATTTACTGAGATAGTTATTAAAAAAAAAGCTGAAAAGCAAAAAAAAACCTCCTGGTATTTTAACTGAAGAGTTGGGGCAATACCTTTCTTTGTGCCATACCTGGAGGCCAGCTGGCATTGCTGGATTTGCTTCCAATCTTGTTTGTTGGTGGAGATTTGGCAGGTAACCAACTATCACCAGCAGGGCCCACATGGCCACCCAAGGGGTCGCCTGGGATTATGTCAAACTGGTTGTAGGGTGATCCTCCGCGGGCTTTTCCAGGGGGCACTATCGCGCCTGAGAAGCAAGAGAAAGATGCATTTAAACTGAGGAAAATGGGGAGGGGAAGGAACACTGGAACTAAGAATTTAAAAATCAACACAGGAGTAGCAGCACATCACACTAGTTTTCCAGCAGTGTCAGAGGCAATGATATATGGGGAGTAGATGTTACCCATCAGCAGCTGATACTAGTGATTCATAAAAACGTGAATAGAGAAGTTATCAGACAAAAGAACAACTAGAAGGCAGACTGCTCTATCGGTACCTTTCACCTGGGTGAAAGTGGCACTAAAAAGAAAAGGTTTCCTTTTGACCATTTTGGGAGAATAACCTCAAACCACTCTCTCACCATTTTTGTGCATACTGGCATCTTGTGAAGCTATGGAGGGCAGCCCTTCCATCATAGAAGTCCATTGTTTAAAGCGAGATTCTGTTCCAGCTTCTTTCCCTCCCACCATGCCATAATCCAAGCCACTTGAGCCAAAGCCTGTGAAACAGAAAACATTACCATTTGCGCTCATGCTCACTCTCTGTCTTTTTTTGAATATCCTTCCAGATAAACACTTACAAACACAAAAGATAAATAGAAACACAATGGTAGTAACTGAAACCCCTATGGGTGGCCACACTCCAGGTGGCATGCAAATAATTCACCCGACTCAAAAGACCCTGCCTTCGTGCAACACATCTCATTCTAAACACTTAGCCACCGCCAGGCAGATTGTTTTGAAGTATCCTACTGGCACTCAACTACAATCTGCAGACAAACCATGTTCTGCATAGATGCCATTATATTCACAGTTTTTTAGCCCAAGTGCATGGATAGACTGCATTACACTGATGTCAGCTGGAATATAAATATAGCATATCAGGATTTTAACTCCAAATAACTACCTAGATTTCACTATACTATCTCTAATTTTGTCTTTCAAGAGGTGCTATATAGAAGGCTGAAGAAAGGCAACCTTGCTAGTGACCCCTATATCACTGCAAGACAAGTTTAATGTTCTAGTATCAGTTAAAAAAAAGTCAAGAAACTGGACATGTCATAACCAGAAACAAAAATATGATGCCAAAAATAAATTAGAAATACCAGATTACTAGAGTCTTAGTAAGGTCAAACTGGTTAATAGAGTAGTAATACTAGCACCAGTACAATGAAGAACCCCATCTCATGGCAGTGCTTACCAGAACCGTATCCAGGTATTTGCCCTTTGGTCTGTAAATCTGAAAGACCCACATTCAGAGCATTGGGTACCATGCTGTCTAAATGTGGCTTAGGACCAACGGGATGGGATGGAGATTGCTTCATACCAGGCTGCCTCTGCTGCTGCTGTTGCTGCTGCTGGAGGGCACTCACCATACGTGCAATCTGCGCACAAAAGAAGTATGTGGGGGAAATTATGCTTAAAAAAAAAAATCAGTAGCTTAGATAATCATGTAGGAGTAGTTACTTCAGAAGAGGAGAGTAATAATACATGTGCACACAGCACTTTAAGAATAGTTAACAGTCCTCAGTAATGACTACAGACTAGAGTATGTCATATAGACTCTAGCAGAGTCTGCCAGACTGACAGGTTCTCTCACACACTTTGTGCCCTATATATTTGACAGAACCAAGAATGTCATACCTGTTGCTCTTGCTGCTGTCGCACAGCTTGAGAAATCTTTCTCTGGCTCTGTAAAAGCTGCTGCTGTTGCTGTTGTTGCTGCTGCTGCAGGAGGAGTTGACATGCCTATAAAATAAGTGGAGAAGACAGAGCATTTTCGGGCAAAAATTCTTGATGGAACTGACCACTTGTAAAGCCTTATCCACAGCTTTCAGTGAAGATGACTGTGGTTCTTCACTTTTAACAAGGAAATAAAATCCTGGTGAAATTATAAGAGGAACATGATCTACTTTCCTTGCTATATCTTATCTAATTAAAAATAATACTCCCAGTAGCTCCATATCTAAGTAATTAAAAATACAAGCATAACCACAAATGACTAAAATATCATCATGCAACAGCTCCCCCCTGAAGGGGTTGCTAAGATTCATTACCAGTGGACTACAACAAAAAACAAGTGCAAACTTCACAATAACTATGTAGGTCAGTTTAGATTACACCACTCCCCAACAAGTGTGCTTTTCCAGTACAAAGCAGCAACTACTGTTTGTACACAAATAATGCAAAATCAGCAGAACAAGACTTAGACATGGAACAAACCTAAAGAGAGAAAGCTATCTTTGGAATGTCTGCAAACAAGGAACTCAGCGTATCCCAATAAGGTGACCGGCTACCATATTTTCTCATATATAATACTCTGCCACATCCCCCAAAACCAGCTTGGGAAAATTGGGATGTTAATTATATGTGAGGAAAAGGGTTCCCCATGGGCCTGGAAATTTGGCCGGGAAGGTCAGGTGGGCTGTAGAGCAGTGGCAGCATTAACTGTTGTGCTTGTGGAAGCCATGGCAGCTAATATTGCCTCTGCTTCCTTCCCAACCACCAAACTTCTGGACTCATAAGGAACCCCGCCCCTCCTCAAATGTGTACCATATCAAGCCAGCACACAAGATCTGACCCTGCGCACTGCCTCTGGAGTCCCACCATGCAGTCTCAGCACTGGCACACAGCTCCAATCAGGTGTGTGGTCTCAGCCCCTTACCTGGAGTCAAAAGTTAAGTTTTTTTCTCTTTTTTGGGACCTTCCAAAAATAGGGCAAGTATTACATTTGTGGGTGTGAAATATGTGAGAAAGTACAGTACTTACTAGTTGAAACTGGGGAATCTGAAGCTGGCTTAGCATGGCAATTTGTTGAGGAGACAGCTGGGGACCCATATTGAACAGACCTGGGTTCAAGCCACTGTTAGGAAACTGCTTGAGCACGGAAGTAGAAACCTGTGTAGAAACCACATTAAAAAAATTAAGATACAACACATAATAAACTGCTCCACAAAAAATGAACCAGAAAGAGAAAAGGGAGGCATCTGTGGAGGGGAGCAGGTATGGCCTATTCGCAAGTTTACATGGTATTTTTGGAAAGCCATTGGATTTATTCATGCTCACCTTTGCACATACCCAAATACTATTTTCTGGCTTGTGAGAATGCACAATCCAGTTTATTCATAAAACACCACTACCCACATTGAAGAAAGATACATTTTGGAGACAGCATTAAACTAGAAGCGTTTTCTGTGTCAGCAACCAAACAGAATCATGACAGCACACTGCTAACTCTGCACTTTGACAAGTAACACGTGGAAAGGAAAAGGCAATCAATGGTGGTGTGGGAGTAAATAATCGTGTCCGCTACAAAGAGTTTATTTTCCCCGTATGTGGATGAATAGCTATTTTCAAGGGCAGGGGAAGAAGATGAATCTCCATTTCTTTATCCTTGAGTGTGTCTAAAATATAGAATTAAAAAAAGCGTCCCAAAAGCCCCTACAGAGCCAATGCAAACACGGAAGAATAGAGAAAATACATGCACTGGGGGGCCTGAGACTAGAACTCAGGACTGTAAGTTAACTGCCTAGTTTAGGAAGCTGGAAAGGAAATTACTTTTCTTCCACCATGCATGTTAAGAAAACCTTTCACAGTAAAAGATAAAAGTTCACTAGGCTCCAAGTTCATAGTGATAAAATACCATTTTTAAATCACTTTGTAAAAAGAGCCAGCAAGAACTCAAGACTTACAAGTCTACAGTAAAGATGAAAAAAAATGGGTAGCAAACAAACTACCAACAAAGACCCTCCCTTGGAAGGTAAGAAAGAAGGGTATCAGTCTGCAAAGCCTTGAAGACTAGAGGAAATTTTGAGCAAAGTCTGTGGGTTCTATTTATAAAATATACCAGGTCCACACCAAGTAGGTATGTAAAAAAAGCCCTAAAAAGCAGCGTATATTGCAAGAAACCATGTGTTGACTGCTTACCTGGGGGGAAAGAAACTGGGGAGGCACTTGCGCCCGGATATTGGGGGAAGGATTTAGTGGCTGCGCTGGTGTGTGCATGCCCCTTGATTGTGCTGTGCTGTTTCCAAACAAACCATGATTGCCACCCTATAAAATTAAAACAACAGCGAATGAAATAAATACCTCTGGCTAATCAAATTCTTTGCAATTTGCTACATACTAATAAAACTGCAGGAATATTTCACTAAGAAGAGAGTATCTTCTGAATCCTCTGTCATGAGGGGTAGCTGTCCCCTGTGACTCTGTAGAATGAAGTTTTTGAAATACAACCTCCTCCTGCACATTTCCTTTGCTTTATTATTCCCATTTTAGAGGTAGAAAAACGGGAGCTCAGAAAACAAACAGCATGCTCAAAAACATTCTCATTCACAAACATCAATGCAGTACTTTCCCAATAAAATCTTGGCCCTTGCATTATGGGAGGTTTGACAGAGGAGCTGGTTGAATATTCAGCATGAATCTGCTCACAATTCAAATGCTTCTAATGCTCATCTAACCTGCAGAGCTTTTGCTGTCCACCTAATTAAAGCCGATCCTCAATTAGATTTCTCTCTTCCCTTGTTCCTTCCTCTTGCTGCTTCACCTCCACACTAAGGGCTCCAAGTACCCCTCTGTCCCCCTAACAGGTTTCCCTATTCTCCCTAGGAGGCATATGTGCCCCTAATTTTCCCACCCTCCAGTATCAGGGTCCCTAATCCTGCCCTATGCCAGCAGCTTTATGCATAACCCTATTCCTTTATGCCTCTCTTTCCTACCTTATTCCCTCTTCTCTTGCATGTCAAACCATTAGTAAGATCTTAGCATCTGATGAAGTGAGCTGCTGGTCACAAAAATATATGCATCTCTGACTTAATTAGTCTATAAGATACACCTTTATCTTGCCTCATACTAGTAAAATGGCAGAGCAAGCGGGTGCTGTTATGCTCGAGTGTTAATAGGAAACCATCAACCAGTCGTTTTATCTATGGACCACTGCTGAGGTGCTTGAAACTGTCATTGTACTCAGGCTGTATAGGGGCTCTGTGCATGTCCCATATTTTCCTTCCTTTCAGCTGTCTAATTTTCCCTAAAGTCAGAACAGTTTTGTTCAATGCCTTGAACATCTGTGGACATATCGATCGGATGCTGCACTTAACAGTTAGTGTTAGACCAGGGGTAGGCAAAATGGCGGATCCGGCCAGTGGCCGAACTTCATTTCCCAGCAGGCCCCGCCTGCATGGCTGGGGCCAGTTTCCATGGAGACCCCAGCAGCAGCCACGCTGCAGCGCAGGATCTGGGGTTTCTGCAGAGACCAGCCCCAGCAGTGCTGGCAGTCGGAGAGCTGCTCCAGGGCTAGGCTGAGATCTTGCGGCAGTGACAGCATGGTCCAGAGACAAGGCAGAGCAGCGATCTGCAGCTTGCATGCTTGGGGTAAGGACGTGTAGGCAGATCGTGGCTCTGCCCTGGTTCCAGAACACGCTGTCACCACAAGATCCCAGCCCAGCCCTGGAGCAGCTCCCCACCCTGCTAGTGCTGCTGGGGCCAGTCTCCATGGAAACCCCAGTCCCACACTATCATAGCAGGGATGCTGCTGGTGTCTCCATGGAAACTGGCATCAACCACATGGGCATGGGCTGCTGGGAAATGGAGTCCACTGCTGGATGGATCCAGCCTGCAGGCTGGATACTGCCTGTCTCTGTGTTAGACAGACAGACAAAACAGAGAAATGCCAGAAAGTTGAGTGTATAGGCCTTGTAAGCTTGGACCATTAAAATATTTTTGATTCTCCTTCTACTTTAAACACTCCTGTAAACTATTCTATCACAATAATCCAAATTATTTTGCTGGAGATGCTGTCATACCCACCTACAATTATTTTAATTTATGGTATCTGTGTACAACAAGCATATAACATTATTACCATGGAGATTTCCAAATTAAGTTAGCTTTTAAACACATTTTAATGTAGAAATTATAATGTGGAATCTGGACAAAAAAGTTCAAAAGCAAATTAGGTTTAAACCAACTGTGCCTGATAAGAATTTTTTTAAAGAATTAGATTATCATACCTAAAATACTCTAATAAATACTTGTTGCATTGTTTCTACTGAATGGCAAAAAATGCCTTTTTGAAACTAAATCCATCAGTTTGTCACACTATTGAAGGAAGTAAAGGGCCAAAAAACAGATAAAATACATATAGACAACAACCAGGAAGATGGATCTTTGATGGGTTAAAGTATCTGAAACATTTTCTGTTTATTCAGTGACCGATACATCTTGTCAGAAAAACAAATGCAAGAAATCGGCTGACTTGGATTAAGCCTAAATTACAGCCATTTAGGAATATAGTAATTTAGTCTTAGCAGGTGGCCTCCTTACTTGTCTAGCAGCGAAGTTTTGGGGGTTGAGCCCTGAGCCGATTGCCCCAAGGCTGACGTTGGGTAGAGTGGAACCAGAGGGAGACAGCTTGTAGCTGGGAGAAGGGGAGAAGGGAGAACAGGGAGCCTCATCCCCAAGGCACCCATCTTGATTGGAGAAAGGCAAAGTCAGCTGAAGCAGTAGTTAGCCAATCAGCAGGAGTTGGTTAGTGAAGCAACAGAATGCAAGAAGAGAAAGAGAGGGACAGTGAGTGACGAGGAATAAGCAATTTAGTTTTGTAACAGCAATTACAACTACAAACTCCTGGCTCAGTTGAGTCCCTGACGACTAGAATTATTTTCAGCCTGACAAACGTTTTTTTCTTAAACCCGAAAGATTGCTTAAAACTTTTTCCCAACTATTTAAGTTGGTCTAATAAAAAATATCAGATTCATCCAAAGAACCTTGTCTGCCTTGTCCTAAGGAGACGCTCATGTCAAAGTATTTTGTTAAGCAAAGATGGAGTAAAAAAAAAAAAAAAATTCTCCTTACTAATTTTTGTCCATTTTTGACACCGATTGTTTTCTGTGTGAAAGCAGATAGAGCTAGAACGAGTTCTTAGCATTTATATCCATCTGCACACATCATTTCTTGCGTTGGCAATGAGCAGAGCTCTCCAAATGACATTTATTAATCAGACCAGCAGAGGGAGTTCATAAAACTGGTTTTCGCTTGTAACCCCAAAATGGAGGAATTTAAAATTAGACATTAAAAACAAACAAACCCTTACTTATTAAAACAGACAATGTCCATCTATTTTATGCATCATTTTGCTCATTCTCAATTTTACTGGCACAAATTACAATTTTTTTATTCCAGGGGACATACTGCAAATCATAATTTGAAGCAACTAATGTTAAAAAAACAACAACAACAACAACAACAACAAAAACAAACAAACAAAAAAAACAAACAAAAAAAACAAAACAAAACAAAAAAAGTGCCTGCCTACAATAGGTAAAGAGTATGAAAAAGATACTATGGCAACATACAACAGATATCACAGGGAAAACACATGTCAAAAGTAAAACTAACAGTAAACGGACAAACAGCATAATGAGTGGAAGAGTCTAGAAAGATGTTTCTGTTAACTAGCAAACATGAAAGCAGAGATAAAAAGTCTTGGAAGACTGTGATTATGTAATATAAATGTAATTATAACAGAAGAGTATAAATGAATAGTCAAACAGGACAAGACCCATTACAATGCCCTGTAGGCTGAGCTTGGGGGGGGGCGGGGCAGAGGCGGGGGGGGGGGGGCGAAGGGGGTGGGTGCGCGCGTGTGTGTTGGGGGATGGGACAGACAGGGACCACTTCTCCCGCTTCAGCAAAAGACTGGAAAAAGTCTTCTAAGTTACCTTTGTTCAGATCAGGCCTCAAAGCCCCAGCACTGTTCTACTCTGTTTATGCATGTACTCAATCCATTTCAATGTTTCATGTATGTACACTACACAAATGCACTTGTTCTTCCTTATTTCCAGTATCATATCTTTTATGTTCCGTCTTGGAACTTTCAGCATTCCCAGAGAAAACAGGAACTAGGACCTTAAAATGAGTGGATTTTGCTCTAACCAGAAGGATTCATCTCACCTTCTCAAAGTAAGGCCCACTATCTGTGGTTCCCATATCTTTGGAATTGGGCGGACGAAACCCAGATCGATCCTTTCTCATTATATCGTTAAAATCCCCAAGATTCATGGCTCGTTTGTCCACCTCAAACTTCTTATCTGGGAGACCACCTGCAAAAGAGTGAGAAGAAGGTAAAACGTCACTGCGTGTGACCACAATCAGATCTATTCATTTCAGCAGATTCATAATGGCAAGACAACTTTCAGGAGTTCTGAAGAATAGAAGCCATGGATTTTTCTTACAGTTTAGCATAACCTCAGATACAATTAAAGCTGATGAAGCAAGTCAAGCAATAAGTTTAATTTCAAAGATCAACAAGGCAATTTGCTTTGTAAGCATTAATAAATAATATATTTTCGCATTAGAAATTCTAATTGTGTGTGCAGAAACATCTACATAATGTTTCTTGCTTCAACAGCCTGACTGGGGCAATGAGACTTGCTTATATTTACTTCCTTGTGTTTCACTTGGAACCCGCTGCAAGTGCACTACGTTTCTAGGTATCTCTGGCAAGGAGTACTTCTTGGATTTTCTACACATGGCACTTAAAAGTCTGCACAGTGTGTGATGGGAAGGAAGGACAACAAGCCAGCACACATTCTAAATTGTAAACATATACATCTACAACTCAAACGATCTCCTGTAATTTCGAGGAACTACACCAAATATGTCCCTATATTTGCACACAAATTCCCTTTTCAGGGCAAATGAGCAGTTCTCTCATAACCAAGAATAACCAAAAACTTATAGTAGCAGACATGCTGCTCCCCACATATCCTTTACCAGCATGTGATGTGGTTCTCTGATGTATTTAGTAAAACTGTGAAGGAAGGAGGCTGAAATGTAAAGAAAACTGTAACACTGCAAGTCATATGCAATGGCAAAGAACAAGACAATAACATCCTCTTTTACAATCACTGTATTGTTCTGATTGTTAGTCTCCCTATTTTTCCTCCAAATTAACCATAAAACAGGAAGCACAGTCTACTTGTACACCATCTATGGCTGCACCTTTGACATTTGTATTTGTTTTATTTTGTAAAAACACTGATTTAGTTGGTTTTTTTGTATGTTTAGTTCATTTAATTCTTTGAATGATTTCTTTGGTTATTTTGTTTTTCTGTAGGATTTTGCAGGGGCAACAGCAGTCAAGTCTATTTGTAGCTATCAAATTATATTCAAAGGGCAAAGCTACTTGTCTTAAAATTGAACCTGAAAATGTGGAATCAACTTATAATCAGAAGAACACAGGGTGACCAAACCCTGACTCTAAAAGAAGATATAATTTCAAAATTGCCTCCCCACAATCATCTGCCATGTGCTGAAAGCAGCACTTGTCCCATTTAAAAAGAAAAATCTGATTTCTCTCTTATATTCCAGAGGCATTCACGACAAAAAAGGTACCATACTTAAACGCTTCATCATAATTGGGCTTAGTAGGTCAGACTGAGGTTCTAAAATCATTACAGGCCTGGATCCATGCTCTTCTTTGCCAGAGGAGCTGTAGTTCACAAATGGTTAATGCCTCATTCAACTAACCATTTCTGAAACATGATATGGTCTAACCTGTTCTCAAAAAACAATTAACTGACAACTTAAATTTACTGTAGTTGAGTGATCAACCTCTTGTCCATAGGCAAAAGTGTTGAGAAGGAAGCAGTAACCTCGCTTACATCTGGTGTTCTCTGCTGACATCTCAGACACATGGCAGGCTGACTGGGGAGATTGTTTCAGTCTACTTTCTTAGGGCAGGGATAGAGGTGAAACATCAGGTGGATCTTACACTTCTCAGATGCCTTCAAAACCATTCCTCATAAGGTACTAAATAACCTAACTATGCATCCTGGAAGAAACTGCTGAAATCAAGATGACCTGGCTAGGTTCATTTTTTTCTAACAGATCCCAAAAAGTCATGCTCAGCAGCTAATGCTCTGTCCCAAGAGCTATGGTACAAAATTCTGCAAGACAATCTTGCCACCCCTTCTCTTTCACATCTAAACTTGAATCACTTCATGTCAGAAACTACAGCGTTCCCAACACAACTTACAAAAGTTCTCTGCTTTTGCTTATCACAGATAGTCCTATCCCTTCAGTGGTCTATGAGAAAATTGGTTCAGACCAAATTTTGCCGTTATTTCTCTCTTCATCAAGAAATTGTGCTCACTGACCATCTGACTGTCCAGAATTAGCAGTCATCAATAATACATTTTCTATATTTATCAAGATAACTGAAAAGGCTCCCCCACTCCAATGACCAGGCTAAAAGTAGACCATGTATTTTTTTTAGTTCCAGTCCGGATTATTGTAGTTTTAGTTAAAATTAAATAAGAAATTCACACTTCAGTTGTCAGTGGTATCTTGCATGATGAATTGACAAAAGATTGAGACAAGCAAAGCAGGCTTCCCCATTCAGTATATCACTCCTGTCTCAGAGTATCAGACACAGATTACTCACTTTGCAGTAACTGTAGTTCTTAAATATGTTTTTTTTCTATCCATCTCTAGGTGCGTGTATGCCCCATGTCTATGAGAGCAAACTCTTGGGTAATAATATCCATTTGGTCCTTGAATGTGGCTAACATGTCCTCAAGCCCCTCTCATAAAGACAGGGTACCCTCAAACTAACCACTTCATTCCTTCACCAATACAAAATCCCTCAAGGCTAAATAATTTCACACAGCAGAGGGCAGGTTATTAGGTCCATAAAGACAGTACCTTGAAGCAGCAGAAATATTTTACAGTAAGTAACTGTTCATTCGTTCTTCGGATAATTTGCCCATCAATCCTACTCCAAGTGTCTGGAAAACAGCTGACTAAGGTGTTAGGTGAAAGGAATCCTCTTTAAATAAGGACTCAGATATTGAACCAATAAATTATGCATCAAATCTATAGGTTGATAATGAAGACTAGCTTGTCAAGGTATATATGGAGCTCCCAGCAGCAGCTTTACAGATTTAAAGTGGCAGAGCTGCTTCTTGAGTAATCTACCTAATCTCTAGCAGAATGCACTTGGATACAAAATGATGGTCATCCCATATTGAGTTTAAAACAAATTTCTGATGCGACCTGAAACTTAATTTTGAGGAGTCAACCTTTGTTGAAACATCTTATCTTTTGGATTAACAAGATACTACTAACTTTGGCGATTAGAATGGTTTTGTCCTATTGAAATTATATAGCACAGTCCAAAGGGTAAAGAGTTTGGTTTCAGCAGATGACGAATCGGGTCTTGAAACTCTTATATGTAGGGACCTACTTAATTCAAGGTCCGACAAAGGAATTGTCATGGGTTGGAAGCAGCATGAAGAGCCAATTTTGTCAGCATTTCCCAGTGGCTCTGCCCCTTCCCACTGCGGGGCAGCCACCCATCTTAGCTTCTGGCTGACCTTTGTGTCGCCCTGCCAGCTGGTGCCTTCCCCTCCTAGGAGGGCTGCAAGACAGCAAGAACTGCTGGCTTCCACCAGGGTGCCAGCACTTTATTTTTATTGTTTTCTTTCTTTTTTTTTTTTTTAAGTTGATCTTGTGGACAACTGAGGATTTCATGGGTTTAGCAAAATCCATGAAATCACAAATTAAGTAGCTCCCTACTTATATGTGAATAAATTAAGAGAAAAATCTAAGTCTACCTTATAAAGAGATTTAGGAGGAGGTGAAAAGAATGTGCCTTTATGACACTGAACTGCATGGCCTTCTGGAAGGCTTCAAGAACCCAGCAGCATGTAGAAACTGCAGTTCATATGCTGAAAGGGAATTACCCAAAAGAGAGGAAAATATATAAAACTGAAAGACTTGGTCTGTATCTCTTGATTAAACTTGCTGCTTCATTCCCATGTAAGAGATTACAGTAGAAAAGCAGCAGAACCCTTTTCTTTGTCAGAGCTGATTTGGATCAGTGCCTCGACACAGCGGAACTTTCCAGCACAAGGCACGGTAAGGCAGGGGAATTCTCGGCGTGGTGAAGAGTTCCGGCGTGGATAGAGTTCCCGCCAAGGATATGCCGATTTGCATAACACGATTGGCCGATGTTAAGTTATTCCCACGTGGCAGCTGGCAATTGACTCGCTAGCCGTATAAAAGGTTAGGGGCATTTCCGCCCTAGTTGGAGAACTCCAACTAGGAGTTGGAAATCCACGATTTCCTCTGGAGTGGAACTCCGGCAGTTTGATCACCTGCCAACGACTCCCCATTGTTGGAGCCTTACGACGTATCCTCCGTGTTGCATGCCCGAGTTAGACCCGAGCTACCCGGTCTGCAAGAGCTCCTCGATTAGTGACTAGAGATTAGAATTGTTGCAACTACGATTGCCTGCGCTGTATACAACTCTACAGTGTAAGTAAAGCTATCTCTGTTTTCCAACTGATACATGTCCCGTCTGTGCCCAATTCCGCTCCAGGGGATAGAGAGTACCCATCTGCCCGTTACGGGATCGCAGCCGCAATTCCAGCTAGCATTCCCAAAGATTCCCGATCCTCGGTCCCCTCTCGGCCCCCACATGGCGTCACGAACAGGATCAGCGGGATCGGGATTAGGATCGATAGGATCGGAGTCAGGATTTGGGGAAGATCTAATGGAGCGGGAGCTAGTGAGAAGTTGCCCCTGGCGTAGCGGGAGATGCCACGTGGCCAGCTCCGAGGAACTAGGCGCCCACATTGTATATCACCAGGCGGGCGGAGTGGGTGAGAGGTTTATTGATGGCTACCTTTCACCGAAGGAAAAAGGAAAAGAGGCATCAGAAGTATGGGAGGCACATCTGCACCTCGAGGCGTTCGGGTGTGTAATGGGCAGCGAGAGAGTCCTGTTCAGGCCCCGGGACAGAGGGAACACCGCACCCCTCGCCAAATGGGGATCGGGTGACGTGAGTCCGGCTCTCAGCCAAGAGTTCGCTCGCTGCATGCAGCTCGCATGGGAGGGTGAAGAGCCGACGATGGCTAACCGGTTCAGCCCCCTGCTGGACACGTGTGTAGCCCCGAGGGATAGAAAAGAGAGAATGTTGGATGTGTTGTTCCGAGCTGTGACAACTTTGCTGGGGAAGAATGCAGACCTAGAAGCCCGACTGCTCGCGGCCGTTCTGGCGGCACGAGAAGCGGCAGAGGAGAGAAGCCCCGAGGCGACGCCACTCCCAGATGGCCACGAGGAAGGAGCGCGCTGCCGGGGAA